CACAGAAACCAAGCTTGGGCTACCTGTGGTAATGAAGGAGTTGAATCTTCACACACTCGTGTATGTAGCGATCACTTCGTAAAAGGTATTTAACAATTCTATATTTGTTTGAGTTTGAAATCCAGATGTCATTTCTTTGCTTTGCACGTGTTGGCTTGTAGAGTGTTTGTAGGTTCGTCGCGTCGTATCGAAGTCTGTTTACTAAACAAGTTCTATACATGTATATCTTATCTAAGTTGTCCAAGCAATATAAATGACGAAGACGACATAGTTTGGGCCCCTACGTTGAAGCTTGGCCATCAGAAGATAAAACAAGTCACAGAGAGCTCTATAAAGCGCGGTGAGAGGACAGCAAAAAGAGATCTGAAACGTCTCCATTCCGAAGCTGCTAGTGCCTTGCTTGACTATAAATGCTCGGCTGATTGATGAAGAAATCTCTTATGCACTAGTCAATTGAGTGGTGTTAAAATCAGACATTCTCCCCGGTAGTCGGGGACACATTCACTGTCAAAACCCCCGCTATTGTGGCCCCGTTATTTTGGTTTAGTAGTCAACCAGAAACACATTTCACGCCAACTCCAAATTCTTGTGCTACACAGAGCCAATTGTTGTGTGTTCCATGCACTAAATATTCAATGCTCAATATTTTCATGGGCTCTGAACCTCAAATCGTGCGAAAACGTTTAGGTTTACGTCTAGTCAGCTGAGAATGTAATGGTATTAAATTGAAAATGAACAATGCTTGTAAATATTGCGAAGCAGTAGTTTTAATAGATTAATCATGATCTGATTCTGTGGTAACGAAACTTCGTAGAAAGGATGACTCTTGTTGTCAATCATCTGACCACGTGACATGACTGACGTTACATATCACGTGACTTACGAACTATTGTATGTAATCATTAAAGGAAGAAATACTTTCAAAGAACCTCGCACATACTTTATACGCGTCCTTTTAGTCCGAACAAATCCTAAATGCTTTGTGGGCCAGTTGTATAAAGGTCAATAAATAAAATCTTGATTATTATGATTAGACATCACTTCATTCTCTTTGTTTATACACAAGGAGATAGTACGCCTTCATGATTTCGTTCCATGACACCCACTGTTTCAAATGTATATTTGATATGTTTACTTTTTTGGTTATCCGCCAAAGAGACGACGCCATTAATTTGATTGAAAGAGAAGACTACTATGAAAATTGAAAATACTACGATAAAAAAATTATCTTCTTCCCGGTGCAAGTGTCCCCCACAATGACGATAGTAATAACAATAATAGTTTGTTTATTAAACTCCTTACAAGCGATTTAATAAAAGCGCGTATCACTGAAAATGTAGTCACACCTCCCTACGTCAGAATAACGCTTTGCGTGTGCGCGGGGCCATGAAATGCGGGTCCACCACATGTAGGTAGGATTGGGCCACCAGAGGTATAACTTAAATTTTAATTCATAATTTAAATTCATGAATTGAATCAGCGATAATAATTATCGGCGATTATTTTTAGTTCGTAAGTCACGTGATATGTGACGTCAAGCCATGTCACGTGGTCAGATGATTGACAACACAAGTCTCACCAATGCTACCAAGTTTTGTTGCCATGATAGCATGCTTCGTTAAGGCGTTATGGCCAGGGGCCACCAGATGCTTGTGCAYGGGGCCAGGAGATGCGGGTCCATTAGAGGTGGGTACTTTGGGGCCACCAGAGGCATGTGGAAGCGAATTTTGTTAAAATAAGTATTAATTCATTTGATGAAATGATTACGTGGAATTGTTCGCAAGTCAAAACTAATGGCGAAAATCGGCGAAAAAGTTTGGTTCGTAAGTCACGTGGTATGTGACGTCACGCTCTTTCAAGTGGTCAGATGACTGTAAACACGAGTACAACCCATCGTATCAAGTTTCGTTACCATAGCATTCATTGTAATGAGTATTGACAAAAATCGGCGAAAGTGTTTGATTCGTAAGTCACGTGATATGTGACGTCACGTCATATCACGTGGACAGATGACTGACAACACAAGACTCACTCATCGTACCAAGTTTCGTTACCCATAGCATTTATTGTAATGACTATTGGCGAAAATCGGCGAAAAAGTTTGGTTCGTAAGTCACGTGGTATGTGACGTCACGCCCTGGTCACGTGGTCAAATGACTGACAATACAAGTCTCACCCATCGTACCAAGTTTCGTTACCGTTAAGGAGTTAATTGCCAAGGAGCCACCAGATGCGTGTGGGGCCAGGAGATGCGGGTCCATTAGAGGTGGGTACGATGGTGCCACCAGAGGTATGTGGCACGTGCTAACCCCTTCTCAAATTATGTCTCAAAAACACAGTTTTTGGATCTTTTCCCAAAATAATGACCATCTAGGCAAAAAGCAGAAGTGGATTCAGTTAATTCAACTATTCACGGACTGTATTATATGGTTTAGATTGAATTCTATTGAAAAAAGCCACCGTACTTTTTGAGTTGAATGTACGCCGATTGGATGTATTTTACAAGAGAAAATGCATGACATAACCGGGGTCAAGCTAGAAAATCGTCTCTCCTTGAAATAAAGCAGAACCTGTCAAAAAAACCGAAGTGGATCATAAAAACCCCGGGCTTTCCTGAACATTTTGTTA